AAATTTCATTGCTTTGTCAGTCAATCTTCTACCTGACTCCCAGGCCCCAGCAACAACTAATCTATTTCCTTTTATTATTGATTAGACTTGCCTTCTCTAGATATTGATATAACTGTAAGTAGACAGAATGTACTCTTTTGTGTCCAATTTCTTTTGATCAGCACAATTTTCATTTTAGATTTAACCACACTGTTGCTTGTATGAGCAGTGTGTTCTTTTTTATTGCTGAGTTAATAATACATTATCCAATGGTATTTTTATACCACAATTTTCCTATCCATTCACCTGTTGATGCCAGGATTTGGTTATTATAAATATAGGTGCTATGAATATTCGCCCTTACAAGTCTTTTTATGGATATATGCTTTCATTTCTCTTGAGTAAATACCTAGGAATAAAATGCCTGGGTCATGGGCTATATCCTCCTTTACTGACAACTCACTGGTTATGTGGCCTTGAGAGAGTAATTTTACTTTTCTGAACCTTAGTTGTCAAATGAGATTAGCGAACCAGAATTTCAAGCCATTGACCTGCCCCAGGATTCTGTCATAGGCTATTGTTAGGGAGTGTTTAGAATAATAAAAAATTAGGTGAAAACTTGGCTTTTTATAGCTCAAGAATTCAATATGATAACATGTTTTTATGAGTAGATATACTGTAAGTTAGTAGCAAATGCATTATTAAATAACCAAAGTCCTAATGTTAGAATAAAAATAAACTTCAGGAAGGGACTAGTTAGGGGTGGTAAGGCATCTGGTCAAACTGGTGGTATATAGCATTAGAATTGTAGTCACAAACCCAATAATGATCCTTTGGAAAGCCACGTGGCCTCTGACTCAACCTTTCCCCACCCTTTGGCATTTTGCTTTTATCCTGTCCCTTTCCAGCCTTCCAGTTCTCCACTGTGAACTTTGGACTGTTTGCTGTGTATGGGAACGTCCTTCTAGACAGTGTAGGATTTTGTACCTAAACTTCAGCAAGACCACCAATCAGGCCCTGCACTGAACAAAACAACTTGCCCAGAACTTTCCTGAACTTCCCAAAGGTCTCAGAGAAACCAGATATTACAGGTGGGATTCTCCCCACCCCCCACCTCCCGTTCTTCTTTCATGAATCTGTAGGCTAAGGTACCCACCTATACTACCCAGTAGTAGGGTTCTCAACTTTGCTCCTTTGGTAGCATCACTGGTCTTTAGACTTTCAGCCTGGACTTTGCAGAGGTAGTTGGCCCCCAACTTACTACATATTCAGAGCATGTTTCAAAAAATCTTGTTACTATATATAAAGCACTAGCATTTGTTAAAGTTTACGTTTTGGTTTTGGGGAAGTTTTATTTGTTTTAGAAAAGAGGCCTGCTTACCAAGCATAGTGGCTCTTTCCTGTAATCCCTGCAGCTCAGGAGGCTGAGGCAAGAGGATTGCAAGTTCAAAGCCAGCCTCAGCAAAAGTGAGGCACTAAGCACCTCACTGAGACCCTGTCTCTAATTAAAATGCAAAATAGGGTTCAGGATGTGGCTTAGTGTCCTAGTGCCCCTGAGTTGAATCCCTTATACCTACCCACCCCAGAACCCCCCCAAAAGAAAAAAAATGCCTGCTCAAATTTTTAAAATTGGAAATATATTTTTTAACTTTAAATACTTTTAAATTCCAAATATCTGAATTACTAGCCTGGCTTTACAAATATGTTCTAAGTTGGGCAAGATGGATGGATTTTCTAAAAATAATGTTAATGTCTTTTGTTTTATGTTGAATCAATAAAATGCAGGATTCTCTGTATAGCCATTATTTTGAAGTATTTAAATAGTTTTAATTTTATTACATTACAAATTGATTCATTTTATATTTACTAGTATTGTAGGAGATTATAGCATTTTGTTTATTTTTATGTTGTTTTAATTAATAATAATATAAAAATTGAAGATATTTAGGATGTCCATGTGCTATTTTAATATATGTATAAATTATATAATTTTTGAATCAGAGTAAGTATATCTATTCAAACATTTCTCATTTCTATGTGGTGAAAACACTCAAAATCCTTTCTTTTAGCTCTTTTGAAATATCTATCATCATTATCCATAGTCACCCTTGTATACATAGAATACAAGAACTTATTTCTCCTATCTCACAGCAACTTAGTACCCACTGACCAACTTTTCCCAGTCCTTCCCTGCCCAAAGAAATTGGCTTTTTTACTAAGTGATTTAATGAGGTTCTAGATAACATCCAGAGATTCAGGCCAAAAGTATCTTGTTTCTAAAGACTTGATGAACAGAGTTGAAAAACAGTAAAAATAGTGCCAGACATGGATGTGCACACCTGTAATTCTAATGACTCAGGAGGCTGAGGTAAGAGGATCACAAATTCAAGGCCAACCTCAGCAAGTGACATCCTCAGCAACTTGGTGAGACCCTGCCTTAAAATAAAAAATAAAAGGGGTTGGGGATGCAGCTTATTGGCAAAGTGCCTTTGGGTTCAATTCCCACTATAAAAAAATCTGTAAAAATATGCAAGAGCACAAATAAACCAATCAATAAATGGGCCAAGGAACTGAACACTTTGCAGAAGAAGGTATACAATCAGTCAACAAATATATGAAAAATGTTCAACATTTCTAGCAATTAGAGAAATGCAAATCAAAACTACTCTAAGATTTCATCTCACTCCAGTCAGAATGGCAGCTTTCAGAAATATAAACAACAATAAGTTTTGGCGAGGAAGTGGGGAAAAAGGCACACTCATACATTGTTGTGAGACTGAAAATTGGTGCAGCCAATATGGAAAGCAGTATGAAGATTCCTTGGAAAACTTGGAATGGAACCACCATTTGATCCAGCTATCCAACTCCTCAGTTTATACCCCCAAACAGCATACTTAAAAACAGCATATTGCAGGGACATAGCCACATCAATGTTTATAGCAGCACAATTCACAATAGCTAAATTGTGAAAATAACCTAGATGCCCTTCAGTAGATGAATGGATAAAGAAACTCGTATATATACACAATGGGATATTACTCAGCATTAAAAAAGAATAAAATTATGGTATTTGCAGGTAAAAGGATGGAATTGGAGAATACTATGGTAAATGAAGTAAGCCAATCCCCCCAAAACAAATGCTGAATGTTAGCTTTGTTATGAGGATGCTGACTTATAATGGGGATGGGGGAAGCATGGGAGGAATGGAGGAACTTTAGATAGGGCAAATGGAATGGAGGGGAAGGGAGGGGGCATGGGGAAAGATGGTGGAATGAGTTAGACGTCATTACCCTAAGTACATGTATGAAGACACGAATGGTGTGAAAATACTTTGTGTACAACCAGAGACATGAAAAATTGTGCTCTATATGTGTAATATGAATTGAAATGCATTCTGCTGTCATGTATAACAAATTAGAATAAAAAAATATGCAAAAGCAACTGCAAATGCATTACCTACTGTGTAAGCCAAGGTCCCATCAAACCTTTCTTCCTATTTATGTGCTGAGTACCAACCTGTCTCATATTTTGCTCACACCATAGTAATAGAGCTTTTAAACTTTCTCCTTTAGTAGTGTCACTGGTCATCACCAGTTTAAAAATAAAGACCACTACAGTCTCAGAGATGCAGTTCACTTTCCCCTTTTTTGGTAGCTATCATCTTTCACTTTGTCCCTAGGGTTTTCCTAATTGACTACATTATCTCTCTCAAATGAGACAATCTCCTATCTTTTATTGTACCTTTTGTTTCCAAAGAGATTTTTGTTTCCAAAGAGTTTTATTCAAAAGGTGTTATTGCATATCACAAGAGAGAAACAGGAACAAGTTGACACGAGTTTTTAAAAAAATCTACTGAAATGTCAAAAGTCATAGTGCCTTTTCTATAATTCTTGAAGCTCCTTGAAAAGATTCAGCTGCTCAGTAATTATGAGATCCATTCTGCTACAATTCTACATCTTAATCATTTGGATACCATGAGCTGAAGCATAATCTAATTCTGGTAGAATATCATCATCTCAAATAGGTTTTATCCACCTCAAGGCCAAATCTAATCTAACTTCAGCTCAGGAAAATTCTCAGAAAATGTCCTTATCTGCCAGTATCTCTGAAAATACCCCATTTTCTCTTTCCTTTCCTTCTTAGACCAGATTTTAGTGAAATTTAGACCTTCCCTCAGAATCCTCTTATGAATCTTACCTTCTGTATTTTCCATCATTAGATTTTTATGCCTTATTTTTATAACTTCTTTCTAATCTTCCAGATAACTTATTTTCTCTTGAGTTGTGTCCATTATGCAATCTATTCAACAAATTTGTGTATTAAACACAACATTAATCACTAGCGATATTTAGTACATTCACACTATTGTGCAATTATCACCATTACCTAGTTCTAGAATATTTTCATCAGCCAAATGGAAACATCGCACCCATTAAATTTCTGCCCTGGCAACCACTAATCTGCTTTCTAAATCTCTACAAATTTGCTTATTCGGGCTATTTTATGTCAATGAACCATAAGGCTTGTGACATTCCTAAGGCCTTGGGGAGCATCTCGGTGCGTGGGGCAGGGACTAGGATGGTGGCCCTTGGAGAGTGGGATTTCAGCTTTCTACACAACACATCCCTCCCCTGAGATTTTTTCAATTCTTCCAACTAGCGAATTTGATATTAAAGCGAACGTCAAGTCAGTATTAGCCTCTTGAGGGAAAACAGAAGAGATTCCTGTAAGAGGTTGAGACAATAAGCGTGGACGGTCCATAAGGAAACGAACAGAATTAATTACTGCCCTTGTCCTGTCCTGAAGCACCTAGACAGCACTCAGTTACCTGCTCAGAGAAGAAACTGGGCGACTACGGCAGGCTACCTACCAACCAGCGACCTAGGAAATATTCCGGAGGTACTGATTGGCTCAGCTACTGGCAGCGCTTCAGGACGGAGAGCAGTGGCGTGCTATGGCGTTACCGTGGCAATGGGTTACGCAGTGGCGCCGTGGCGCAGTGGGTGTCGGTAGGGGGCGGGGGCTGGTGGCTGCTAGGCAACCGGAAACAGTACAGACCAGAGCTTCCAACTCCTAGACCAGGCGTTGCTCGGTCTTTGGAGACCCCTCCGCAGTCGCTGCTCTAGTCGAACCTGGTGAGTCTTATGGGACCGAGCCTTGGAGCCGGCCTCTGACTTCTGGGCCAGAAACACAGCATAGCTTTTGGAGCACAGAAGGAAAGGTTAAGGGAGACATAGAAAGTCATCGTAAAGGCATTTCACTAATTACCTATTTAACCTATCATATTCCAGGGGTGGAAAGTGAAAAATAGCAATATAGGGAGTGGTCAAATATTGACCTTTCGCTATTCAATATGGTAGCCGCCAGATATGTGTGGCTAGTCCTGCATTGAATTGTGCCCAAAATGAGGTTTTGGATATGTTAGATAAAATATAGTTGAAATTAATTTCACCTGTTTTCTTTTTTTCCTAGTTACTTGAAAAATTAAAATTGCATAGAAGGCTCTCAAATTTCTATTGGCCAGCACTGAACTGGATTAAGACCTAGGTATGCCAACACCTGGTTTAAGAATTTTTGTGTTATAATACTATTTTGAAGTATACCCCCACCCACCAAATGGGATGAGAGTGTGGGCAATGATAAGGAGTGCAAGATTTCTACAAAAGGCTCACAGTTCTAGTGTTTTAGGACCTTACTACTCAAACTATATGAATCAGAATCTGAATTTTAACAAGCTCTTCATGTGATTATCCTGCACAGAAAAGCTCCAGAAACACTATTAGAATGTAGTCGTCAAAATTCTTTGTTTCTTGTTTTTTTTCTTGAGTATGTAGATTTTTATTTCTCAGATTGTAGGTATTAGGATTATCTGCTTAAAGAAAGAAAGAAAAAAAAAAAGATTCCCAGGAGATGTTTTGCATATTCAAATCTAAAAACAAAACAAACAAAAAAAAAAACATTGATCTCAAAACACTGATCTCAATGCATTTCTCTTCATCCTTTCAAATCTCGACCAGTGTGGTTCCCAGATCAGCCCTATCAGCAGCAAAACCCAAGCACTTGTTAGAAATGCAAATCCCTGGGTTCCACCCCAGGGGTTCTTGTATCCCAGACATAGTTCCTAATTTTTATTCCTCTGGTTTAAGTCCTCAGTTTATAAAGAATGGTATAACTTTGATTGGTATTCCTTGGGGGATTTCAGCAAATTAATCTCTTCCCTATCCTTAGGTCCTCCTCCACCATGTATCTCCTCCCCCAATCCTTCTGCTTGACTTTTCATTTTTCTTTTTCTTACCTGTTCTTTCTAGAAGTAAGGATGTCTTTTCAGCCCACAAATGATGAAATCGACCTGGAAGATACTGAAGATACTGTAGAAAATATTGTGCTTTCAAGACTGAATAGTATAAAAGCAAGGGGAAGAATGAGTTCTGTAAAATCTGCAGGAATTGAACCTGATACACAAACACTGACATTTAAGCACACCACAAAAGCACAGGAGAGGACAAGAAAACGACAGCAACCTATAAAACTGGAGCCTCTGGTAAGTTAAAAACCTAGTATTTTACCGCTTTCAGGCTACAGAGAAAGTTGCAAAATTGCTTTAGGGGAATGGATGTCATTTCCAGCCTTTTGACCAAGAAGGCATGAAAACCTTAAAAGTTAAGAACTTATTTATGAAGTTATACACACTATAAACATTTATTCAATGAATATTAAGTTCTAGGCACTATTTAAATTGGTGGATTCAGAAGTGAACCAAGTTTTCTAGCAGATAAATCCTATCTAGAATTATGTAGAATATAGATTCCTAACTATGTAGATTATAAGACTCTTTTTAAATATCAGTGTATTTATTTAATACTGGGGACTCCAGTAAAATTATTACATATAGTTGTGTAGTTTTTATTATTTTCAAAGTACATTTCTAGTGTCCTGAAAATTTTTCAGCATGTTTGAAAATATCATATTTTAAGAAATAAGTTATGTCCTTGAATAATTGTCAATGCATGTAAAAGGAACTGTGAAAGTATATAAAGTAAAAAATAAAAGCCCTTATCCCTTACCCTCAAATATTTATTATAACTAGTTGTTGTGTGCCCTTCAAAATGTTTTGTATGTTTTTTAAGTATATTTGCATATATCAATGTCTATAAATATGTATAGTTTAAAAGTAAGATTATGTAATATATACTGATCTTCAAGTGTTTATTTTACTTAAATATATAAAAAGTGTTCCAATTCATGCACATGGAGATATCTTTAACAGGAGAATTGTATTTTGTTGCAAGGATGCCATAATATGGTATTCATTAACTGGTCAAGGGGAATTCATTCTTTTTGTTGTTGTTGTTTTATGTTTTGATTTTTTGCTATTTCAGATAATGTTGCATTGAATGACCTTGTTTTTGTACATAAAAAGATTCCTTGAAGTACTGTTTTGTAGGTCACAGAATATTGCCCATTTGCCCTCCAGAAAGGTTTAAACAATTTTTCGACTAGCAGGGAGGAGAGTGCCTGTTTACCTACATCTTTATCAAAGCAGATGTTATCAGTTCTTTTATTTTTGCAAGACTGAAAGATGTTAAATGGCATCACTGTTCTTGTTACAATTTGCATCTTATTTTTTATTAATTATTTTATTAGAAGTAGATATTGAACTTAATCAAATGCCTTTATTGTATGTATGGAGATTATCATGTGATTTTCCCACAATTCACATCTACCATTTTCTTATTTTTTTGCAAGTTTTGTTTTTCATCCTCAGTGAGACTAAGTAGTTTCCTTTACTAAAGCTGTGTACTTCTCAAATAAATTCTTAACTAGTTTACTTCATTTTATACTTTATTTTGAAAAGATTTCCCTCCGTTTATTTTCAGTACACAGAAAAGCAAATGGATTTTTTGTATGTTTATTTTTAACCAGAATTTCACTAATATCATTTTAAATTCTTATATTTAGTGTTAAGCTTTCGTTTTTTCAAGATATATAAGAAACATCATTGACAATTAGATAAATTTGCCTTTTTTGTGTGTTTACACCAAAAACTTTATTTTCTAGATTAGAATTCGGCAAACTATGGCCCACAGGTCAAATCCAATTCTGTAAACTTTTTTAAAATAAATAATGCTTTATTGGATCACTGCTACATCCATTTATTTGCATACCATCTAAGACTACTTTATAGAACTATGGTAGAGTTCAGTAGTTGTAACTGAGACTGTATGACTTTCAACCCTAAAATATTTACTATCTGACCCTTCAGAGAAAAACTTTATTCTAGATGCTCCATATATATATATACATATATATATATATATATATATATATATATATATATATATATATATATATTTTTTTTTAGAAAAAGAAAAAAAGAAGGTTTACTGCTTTGCTAGCAAAGGAGAAACACAGGGGACTCCTGTCCCAAAGGCTGTGATTCTCTAAATTAAGAATTTAATTATATAGGTGAGAGTGAAAATAATGATCTTGTTCTTGACTTAATAATGGCCTTAAGGTTTTCCTATTAAGGGTAATAGGCATGTGCTATTGATTTTTCTAAGTACTCTATAATTTTATTAAGAAATTTATTCCTATTTTATTGAAAATTTCAGATACATAAAGTTAAGAAAAATATGTAAACAAAATAATGTTGGATTTTGCCTAGTTTGCTTTAATATCTGTTTTTAAAGCAATACCCTGATATATAGCTCAACTGCCTTTTATGCCTTATTCCAATCTTAATGCTGTCTCAGAAAGAGATAACCACTACTAGGATTTATATGAATCTATCCCACTGTTTGTGGTTTTGACACTTTATTTTTAATATTCAACTTCTTCCAATTTTTTCTTATGAAAACTTTCAAATATACAGGAAAGTTTAAAGAAGAACACAATGAATACTCATATACCTTCCACTTACATTCCAAGAATTGTCAGTATTTTGTCATATGCTTATGACATATTTTGTTATATATGCTGTTACTTCATTATTTGAAGTAAATTGTAAACAAAGTAACACTTAATTCTCAATACTTAGGCATGCAATCCTAAGAACAGTTTCCTGCATACTATAATTCTATATTCACACCTAAGAAAATTACTAATTCCATAGTATCATCCAAAGTCTAGTTCACACTGAAATTTCTTCATTTGTTCCTGAAATATATTTAATAACTTTTCACCCCTAACAAGGATCTAATTAAGATTAAAGTATGGCATTTTGTAGTTATGTTTCTTTTTTCTCTTTATCTAGAAGAGTCTTATAACTAATTTTTTTGGAAATATTGACTGAAGAGTCCCCGCCTATCGTGTAACATCATTGCATGTTCTGGATATGTCTGATGTTTTCTTTATTGTGTCATTTGACTTTACACTTTTTTCTGTCTCTCTGAGTCTGATAAGAGTCAGCTTAAACATTTTTGGTAGTAATGCTTCATAGGTAATATTGTGAACTTTATATTTTACCAGATCAGGAAGTATATAACATCTCTACTCATGATGTTTAAACATTTGTTTAAAATTATGACTGGTGGGCTGGGATTGTGGCTCAGTGGCAGAGGGCTTGCCTCACATGTAGGAGGCACTGGGCTTGATCCTCAGCACCACGTAAAAATAAATAAATAAAATAAAGGTATTGTCCATCTACAACTAAAAAATATTTTTAAAAGTAAAAAAATAAATAAAAGATTGTGACTGGTAAGTTAATAGTTAATCTGCAGCTGATATTTTCACATCGTGCAAATGTCACATTTCCCAAAAACATTTTACAAAATAACTTTAGTCTCCGCTGATGATTCTTACCTGAATCAAATATTACACTGGAGAAGGCAAAATATGGGTTTTCTAATTCTATCATAACATTTATGATTATGAGTTATGATCTTCTAATAATAAGAACATTACCTTCTCTCTCTCTCTCCTCTGACATTAAAAAATCCATGGATTCATGGCTTTTATTTATTTAATATATTTAAATTGACTATATACTTTTGATACTCAGATTATTCCATATACTTATTAATTAGGATTCTTCTATAGAGAACAGCTGTATTTCCTATCTTAAATACTTTAAAATATCAGTATGGATTTATAACTTTTAAAAAATTTAGTATTGTACTTAATCTGTATAACTTTTCATTTTTATATTTAAAGTATCTGGGGGCATATCCTTAAATTTCTATATCTTTTGACATGTCGACAACAATTTTTGAGTATTTCCTTGCTTTCCAGCATGACAAGAGTTCTTGGTTTACCTTGTATTTTTCATGCCTTCAACAAGGAGTTAGGCACTCATTTTAGCAAGAAATGGAATTTTATAACCCAAGATGTAGTCACAATGTGTACATTGGACATAATTGCATTTAGAACTGTAAATATACAGGACTAGAAGGTGTGTATATGTGTATGTTTGTAATTTTTTAAATCTTGAATTCACACTTACATTTTTAATTCCAATCTAAAGCCTACAAGTTTTACCTTCTCCTTACCTTCTCCTTTCTGTATTTGTACTCTAATCTTCAGTCTCAGTAACCTGAGAATTTGAGTTTGAAGAATGCATACATAATTTCCCTTTTATTCTATTTTTCCTGCCATATTTTCCACTGAGTATTTGTTGGAAAAATTAGGGCTCCCCATTCTCATAGCCATTGCTTGCCCTAATGACTTCCCTCTGCTTCCTCAAGTTCACAGATTGTTATATTGAAAATTCCTTCTCACAGTAGAGTGATAGTGAACAGTGGTAGTTTGTGCTGGACACTTAGGAGACATATGATTTCATGCTGCTGAGCTTTTCTGTGATAATCTTACTCCCAGAGGTATTCATTAGTAAATTAAAGTACAAAATTAATGGAAACCAAGTAGAAAACTCTTATTTAAGCAATAAGTGAGGGATAGACAATGGTAGTAGTTGCTGTTAGGGCTGAGGCTTTTAGGAAATTAGTCTAGAAAGGAGATTAGTTTCCTACAGGGAAAGAGTGTAAAGGTAATGAAGAACACAGAAAGTTCACACTAATGTTAAAAGATTAACATGACTCTGTATTCCCCAAAGCCAGTGCTAAAAGTCTATCAAGATCATCAGCAGCCAGAATACATATATGAACAGAACCGATCGCAATTAAGAACTCGTGGAATCCTTAAACGATCACCAAGCTCAGCAGAAAGAAAATCTATCAAATCACCTACTTCATTTGCTGAGCCTCAAGATGATGTGAAAAAAAAGCAGGTATAATACTGATACTTTTAATTTTAATTTTGTTCAGTGTCACTAAAATGCTTTTAACTTATAAAACAGGAGGTAAATCATTTTTAGAATGCTGCATATGATTGGGAAACATTTCTCAGTTCTGCCTACTTGAGGAAAACTTGGACAGTAGAGGAGAAACATGAAAGAAATTTTCAGCATATGCATAGTGTCTTTTATCTTTTTCATGCTAAAAAACAGTGTATTGAATGTTACATAATTACTTTAATTTTTTTCATCATTTTTTTTACCAAAAACGGAAATCTTTGAGGACTTGGGTAACTGGCACTAAAATAGACACTGAGTCAGTTCAAAAGACAATGTTTGTAGCTGGTGAGAATTGCAGAGTGGGTAAGTTGCCTTGCAAGGCCAAATGTAGCTTAGAGGAGAAATTTATTAGAGCTTGGCTTTAATTGATTATCTGTAGATAAAAAGAAAGAGAAATGGGAGAAAATGCAAAGACCATACCTATAGTAAAGATACCAATAGAGCCAAGATTTCTCTGAGCTTTTGATTGGAGGACATTTTGATATTTGATTCAGGCATTGGGCTATAGTGCTAGAAATACCAAGTTGAAATTCTGTTCTTGAGAACTTCAGAGTTTGGAAGTGGATAGGTGGACAAGTGAACACTCAAGAACAGTAGGTGTAGTAATAATTGTTGCTCATTTAAGATACAAAATGATGAACTGAATGAAAGGAATACTTCCACCAAAAACCCCTGGTGACCAGGGAAGAGTCAGTGGAGGAAAAGCCACCCTTGAGAGTTGTGCTAAGCTCAGAGGAATGAGTGGAAAGTTATTGAGATTGAGAAATTAGGAGAGATAGGGGTTTGGGGAGAATCCAGGTAGACAGGAGCTCACCATGGGTTTGAGTGAGGTCAGTCCAAGAGAAAGAAAACAGAAGAAGAATTATATAGAATTCTATAGCTTCAGTTACTAGGGTTTTTGGGAGGTGAAGAGACCTATCTTAAATACAGCCAGAAAAGATTGAATGCTCATAGACTAATTAACTTGACATAAAATGGGCTCCAAGGGCTTAAGTTTGAAAAGGAAGAAAAGAATAATTGTATGGATATCAGGGTTGCAAAGGAAGTTTGAAAGGACTGTTAGGTCCTGTTAGACTATGCTTCCTGGTTGTATCATTCCAGGGAAGAATTCAATAAAGAGTTAGGGCTTACAGGAAAATGTGAAAAATAGATTCCGTGCAAAAGGAGAAGGTATTCTAAGGAGAAGGCAATTTTTCAGGTATTGACTTCTTACGATAAATTTAGAATGGAAATACACAATGAAGATTTCCTAGAAGAGGTAGGAAGGAAGGGAGGGAGAGGAGGGAAAAGAGAAGAAATGAAAAGAAAAGGGGAGAGAAAGAGAGGAGAAAGAAAAAAAGAAGAAAAGAGAGGAGAGGAGGCTTTTGGTAATTAAGGAAAACATTAGGCAAGGCATCCATCAGAGAGGCATCCTATAAGTGTTCTATATTTTTTGAATAAATGCTTCCTTTGTTCCTCATCGTAACATATGTAACTGCTAAATTGACATTTTCCCACCGTTACATAATTAGAAATAAGTCCTCAGATGAAAATGTGTAGTCCTATTTCTAAAGAGTGCAGTTAAACTGTTTTAAAAGACACAATAAAGAAAATAAATGTATTTCTGTTAAAATGTTGATACTTTAATCTTACAAAAATATTAAAGTTGACTCTAGCCCTTGTTGAAACATTGAGATAAGGTGATACACATTTTCCCTGATCTGGGTATCAGTTTTGGCCTATTCTTTTGCATCAAAGAACAGTGTCATTGCTGCCATCTCTGGCCAATAAGTAAAAGAAGCATATTTTATCTTTTGAGTTGAAAGATGTGTTTCTTTTAGCTCTGTTTGCTGGGTTTCTCCTCTCAAACTACTATTCAGTCGGGTATATTTAACCAAAAATGGAGAATAACAATCCCTCTGAATATAAACTTCCTGGGAAAATTGTTCCACAGACTTTGTGGTAATAAACTTTTACAGAAATGGCATCCTCTATCAATTATGCAGCAAGCAATGAAGTAATCATATATATTTTTATGTTAGTCATTTAACAAAGCAGATCTACTATGGTTATTCTATTATCTTTAAACTAGTTACCCTTGTACTCTCAGAGATATAAGGTGATAACTTTTGGAGGTAGGGTCAAATTTCCTCAGACAAGGAAACTTTATGAAAGGAAAGAATGTGGCCAATGCCACCCCAAAGGGTTTTTGTTTTTGTTTTTTTAAGGAACAAAAGGGTGTGAGTGGTACTGAAGACACAGATAATGAACCCCAAAGAGAAGAGCAAAGCTCAAATATGTGATTGTGACAAGGATGATACTTAGCCTTGCTGTTCCAAGTGTGGACAGTGGGCCCACAAGACTCACATTGCTTATGATCAGGTTAGAGGTATAGCATCTCAGGTTCCACCCCAGTAGTACTGAATCAGAATCTGTAGTTTAACAAATTATGCGCACATTTATGTTTGAGAAGCACTGGCATACAGAGCAGGCAATTATTTGTTACTAAAATAAAATCACTACAGCATGATTTCTAATACTGATTGTATCCACCCCTCACATTTAGCATGAGTAGTTTATCATGATTTATGATAACAGATGTCCAAGATTTCACTCCCTGAAAAACATCAAGGTTGTCAGAACAGCTGAGGAAATTAAGTGGAGATGCCACAGCCAGGATTGAAGCAGAGCAACCAAGCAAGGAGAGTGGTGAGCTCTCCTGAACACCAGAGAGTTTATAGTATTTGGATGTAATAAACATGGACTTAATAGAGAGGAGAAGGGAATGGGAGCTGACACTGGTGGGGGGCTGTTTTGTGGGAATGGAGTGGGCATATGGATAGGGAGTACTGAGAAGGACAATAGTTTAAAATTTTTAAGTTTCAAAATGCTTGACTTTAAGGGTAATATTTCATATTTTTCCTTTTTACCCGACAAAAACTCATGTTTTTAATTGGCTTTGTTTAGATCCGTCGATCCTCTGAAGAGGCATTCGCTCCTTCTCCTCAAAAACAGCCTCGTACAGGTATTGGAAGAAGAGGTCTTTTTGGGAGTAGGTCATCAACTTACCCCACGTATATTTTCCAAGACCCGGAAGAAGTCATTAAAGCTAACATTCGTGATCCTTTGCAAATCATCAAAATAATACGTGAAAATGAAAATCTTGGATTTCTTTATATGATTCCTGCAGTGCCAAAGTCTTCCATTGAATACAATACATATAATCTAAAGTGAGTTCTTTTTTATGAAGTAATGTATTCAGCATTAAACATTACAGATAAGAATATAAATATTATTCATAATTGATTAGATATTAATGATAAATGTGATAAAACAATTTTAATTATCATCAATGATAAATAAATATTAATTACAATTCTTTTTTTCCCATTTATCTTACCTTTATCTATTTATAAAAATTAACTATTTTATGGAACACTACACTGTTGTACTTCTTATTTATTTATTTATATAATGCTATAACATCTATTTTAATGAGTTTTACAAACATTTTTGGTATTTTGTCACTAATGAGAATAGTAGATGACAATTTATAAACAGTATTGATACTTGATTCGTTTATATGTCATTCCAGCTTCCCTTTACAGAGTAGAAATAAGGAATTTTTTAAATAAAATGAGCTTGATAACTTAGGGTATTCATAGAGATTAATAGTACATACATGCTTTGCTTCCATTGTTGCTTAACACACATTTTTTGTTGGTATAATTTGAATAGTCACATAATTGTGACTCTGATTTGCTTTAATGTTCAGCCTCGTAGATGATAGTTGGTTAGAATACTTGAAAGATGATACTGGTTTTTCTGTTATTTAGTTGAGCTGATGTCAATTGTTAAAACAGTCTTCCTTGATGGTGATGATAGTTTAGTTTTGCCACCAAATTCCTTAATTTGCCTTTCCCATTCTCTGTTCTATTATTTCTCCTTACTCAGGGCTGTAGTTTTGATTAAATCAGATGAAACTGAAGACAGTTTTCCTTCTGGGTTAAAGGAAAAGAGAAGAAAATGTTCTAATCAAAATGTAAAATGGGAGATTTGTTGTAAATCTAAAATATCTTAATAAGAGTAAGAAATAATTTGTAGAAAGATCAAAGATCCTTACAAACATCCAATAAATTATTTTAAATTTACTGAGAACCCTCTCTGGAACAGGAACTCGTTGAGGTGCCAGAGATATATTAGTGAACCATTCAGATCAGAATTTTTGCCCTCAGGGAGCTTGCATCTCAACAGAGGAAGAAAATAATAAATATAATACATGAACAAATTATGTAGAAAGCTAAAGGATCATAAATACTGTAGACAAAATCAAGTAGGATAATAGTGCTAGGTGAGAGGTTGTAAATTAATTGTGATGGTCAGCAAGGGCCTTATTGAGAAACAGGTATTAAAATAAGGACTTGAAGGAGATATGAATTATGTGATGGTGCAGGGGAAGAGTACTCCAGGCAGCAGGAAAATGGATGCAAACAAGGTGGGAGCATAGCTGACATGTTCAAGGAGCAAAGAAGAGGATGATATGCTTACAATAGAGTGAAAGAGATTGGGGACGGATCACATAAGTTTTTATTTTATTTTTTTTTTAGTTGTTGATGAATCTTTATTTATTTACATACAGTGCTGTGAATCAAACCCAGTGCCTAACACATGCTAGGCAAATGCTCTACCACTGAGCCATAATCTTACTTTAGCTTCTACTGTGAGGGAAAAAAATGGAGAACCATTGAAGGATTTTTAATAAATAAGTGTCACATTGATTTAAATTATATTTTGAAAAGGATCATTCTGGCTAATGTGGAGAAAAGGCTTTGGGAAAGCATGTGTTGAATCAGGAAAAGTAAAAATCAAAGCCTTTAATTATTCAAGTGAGAAATGGACCAGGTGGTAGTTTGTAGTCAAGTGGTGGAGATGTAGGACTGATTCTGGAATTTGAAGAGAAAACCAACAAGATGCTTTTACAGATTACATATAGGGTAGAAAACTAGAGAAGAGTCCAGAATAACCTCAGTGACCCATTTGAGCAAGATGACTAAATAGACAAGATTCATCAAGAGAAATAGCCATTTGACTTTGAACATATTAATTTTGAGATACCAAAGGGAAAAAATAAATGGGATGGTAGAAGAAGGAGATTTGGGATCAAGAGAGAAAGAAGGAAAATAGTCTTTTTAAAATTGAGAAAATTAACATAACTGAACTTAAGGCCCGTAAAGGATCTTAAAAAATAGTTTTAATGTTTAATTTGATATTTTAATTCCCATCAATAACTTACTGCTTTTTAAAATATCTCTTTTTTATTAAAATATTTATTCTAATTTGTTATATATGATGGCAGAATGCAATTCATTTCATATTACACATATAGAGCACAATTTTTCATGTCTCTGGTTGTACACAAAGTATTTTCACACCATTCATGTCTTCATACATGTACTTAGGGTAATGATTTCTAACTCATTCCATCATTTTTCCCCATGCCCTCTCCCTTCCCCTCCACCCCCTTCGCCCTATCTAAAGTTCCTCCATTCCTCCCATGCTCCCCACCCCCCATCACCTTATGAGTCAGCATCTTCATATCAAAGAAAACATTCGACCTTTGGTTTTTCGGAATTGGCTTACTTCACTTAGCATTATATTCTCCAACTCCATCAATTTACCTACAAATATAATGATTTTATTCTCTTTTAATGCTGAGTAATATTTGATTATATATATACCAAAGTTTCTCTATTCATTCATCTTCTGAAGGGCTATCTAGGTTGGTTCCATAACTTAGCTATTATGAATTGTGCTGCTATAAATATTGATGTGGCCATACCTGTAGTTTGCTATTTTTAAGTCCTTTGGGTATAAAACAAAGGAGTGGGATAGCTGTGTCAAATGGTGGTTCCATTTCAAGGTTTCCAAGGAATCTCCATACTGCTTTCCAGATTGGCTGCACCAATTTTCAGTCCCACCAGCAATGTATGAGCGTGCCTTTTTCCCCACATCCTCACCAACACTTATTGTTGTTGTATTATTGATAGCTGCCATTCTGACTGGAGTGAGATGAAATCTGAGAGTAGTTTTGATTTTCATTTCTCTAATTGCTATAAATGTTGAACATTTTTTCATATATTTGTTGATTGATTGTATATCCTCTTCTGAATAGTGTTTGATCAGTTCCTTGGCCCGATTATTGACTGGGTTATTTGTTTTTATGATGTTAAGTTTTTTGAGCGCTTTATATATCATAGAGATTAGTGTTCTATCTGATGTGCTTGTGGTAAAGATTTGCTCCTATTCTGTAGGCTTTCTATTCACCTCACTGATAGTTTCTTTTGCTGATAAGAAGCTTTTTATTTTGAATCCATTGCATTTATTGATTCTTGGTTTTAATTCTTGCACTACAGGAGTCTTGTTAAGGATGTTGAGACCTTATATGACATGATGGAGATTGGGGCCTACTTTTTCTTCCATTAGGTTCTAGGTCTCTGGTTTAATTCGTAGGTCCTTGATCTACTTTGAGTTGAGTTTTATGCATGGTGAGAGGTAGAGGTTTAATTTCATTTTGTTACATGTGGATTTCCAGTTTTCCCAGCACCATTTGTTAAAGAGGCTATCTTTTCTCCAATATATATTTTTGGCACTTTTGTCTAATATGAGATAGCTATAATTATGTGGGTTTGTCTCTGTGTCCTCTATTCTGTACCATTGGTCTGTTTTGGTGCCAATAACATGCTGTTTTTATTACTGTTGCTCCATAGTATAGCTTAAGGTCTGGAATAGTAATGTTACCAGCTTCACTTTTCTTGCTAAGGATTGCTTTGGCTATTCTGGGTCTCTTATTTTTCCAGATGAATTTCATATTACTTTTTCTATTTCTATGAGGAATGTCATTGGGATTTTGATTGGAATTGCATTGAATCTGTATAATGCTTTTGGTATTATGGTCATTTTGACAATATTAATTCTGCCTATCCAAGAACAAGGTAGATCTTTCCAACTTCTAAGGCCTTCTTTAAGTTCTTTCTTTATTGTTCTGTAGTTTTTGTTGTAGAGGTCTTTCACCTCTTTCATTAAGTTGATTCCCAAGTATTTTATTTTATTTTTTTTAGGCTTTGTAAATGGGATGGTTTTCCTTGTTTCTGAGGGTTTGTCACTGATGTACAGAAATTCCTTTGATTTATGGGTGTTGATTTTATATCCTGCTACTTTGCTGAATTCATTTATTAGTTCTAGAAGATTTAGGGTGGAATTATTCTAGGTATAGAATTACATCGTCAGCAAATAGTGATAATTTGCGTTCTTCTTTTCCTATCCATATCCCTTTAATTTATTTTATCTGTCTAATTGCTTTGGCTAGAGTTTCAAGAACTATGTTAAGTAGAAGTGGTAAGAGAGGGTGTCCCTATTTTTTTCTAGATTTTAGAGGAAATACTTTCAATTTTCTCCATTTTGAATGATGTTAGCCTGGGGCTTAGCATAGATAGCTTTTACAATGTTGAGATATGTTCCTGATATCCCTTGTTTTTCTAGTGTTTTGAACATGAAGAGGTGATGTATTTTATCACATGATTTCTCTGCATCTGTTGAGATGATCATATGATTTTTATCTAAGGCTATTGATGTGATGAATTATATTTATTGATTTTCGTATGTTGAACCAATTTTGCATCCCTGGGATAAACCCTACTTAATCATGGTGCACTATCTTTTGATATGTTTTTGTATTTGATTTGCCAGAATTTTATTGAGAATTTTTGCATCTGTATTCCTTAAAGATATTGGTCTGAGGTTTTCTTTCTTTGAAGTGTGTTTGTCTGATTTTGGAATCAGGGTGATATTGGCCTCATAGAATGTGTTTGGAAGTGTTCCCTCTTTTTCTATATCATGAAATAGTTTGAGGAGTATTGGTGTTAGCTCTTCTGTAAAGGTCTTGAAGAACTTGGTTGTGTATCCATCTGGTCCTGGACTTTTCTTGGTTGGTAGGCTTCTGATGGCATCCTGTATTTCCTTGCTTGAAATTGATCTGTTTAAATTGTGCATATGATCCTGATTTAGTTTGGGCCTATCATATGCCTCTAGAAATTTGTCGATGCCTTTGATATTTTCTATTTTCTTGGAGTACAAATTTTCAAAATAATTTTTAATTATCTTCTGTATTTCTGTAGTGTCCATTGTGATATTTCCTTTTTCATCATGAATGTTAGTAATTTGAGTTTTCTCT